GGGGCCTCTAGAGAAGCAGCAGCTACTCCCACAGCTAGATTACAATGGACAAGAACCAAAGTCTTATATTTTTTATTGTTTAGCTGGACCAAAATGTGAAAACTCATGTTGCTAGGATCTCCTCCTCCTCATATAGGAAGCATCTTTAATTTCCTAAGGCTGAGTTAGGGGCTTCTAAGGGATGCCACCAGCTTCCATGAATAACTCTGCTATCGACACATTGTTTTGTGATCATCTCTTAGCTCCCCTGTCTCCCACATTACACTGTCTACTCCCTGAGGGCAGAGACTTGTGTCTTACTTATAACTTCCCCACATACCAGAGTGCCTAGCACTAGTAGATCCTGTGTAAATGATGGATGGATGATGGATGGATAATAGATGGAAACTCTCCCATTTCAGGCTGCAGTAGTTACTGATCCCCATCTATGTGTGGCCTCTCTGAGGTCACTGGATTTCAGGCACACACAATACAGAGTCCAGCTGAGCAGAGGGGGACCTCAGTTGCCAGCAACAGAAAGGGGTGGAGGGTGGCAGATAGGTGGCAGTAGCCAGCCTCCTGAGCAGGGCAGGGTTTGGCAAACACCCAACCAGTATTGCCTTCACTCTCTGACCTTTCCTCTCTGGAAGGAGGCTCAGGTTTCAGCTGCTTTGAGGCAAGCTGTCCTGCAGCACCAGCAGACTCAAAGTGCCCTGTCTTCCCTCAGTCACATGCTGTGATGGCCCAACTGCAGGGCAAAGGGTGAGACCTAGGGCCAGCAGCATTGTTCTGAGGAGATTAGGGGGCACAGCCAATTTACCTATCACCACCTCATTCTTAGAATTTCTCTTTTAAGTTTTGAAAGATCTCTGTGAAGGTAAGAGGTTAAATATTAGGTGAGGGTAAGGGTAAGGTTCTTGTGATGTTGTGGAGATAAAGCCTGGCCAAACAAGACACTGACAGCAAGGCTGTGTCCCTAATCTTCAGATACCTCAATCACTGGAGAATATCATGGAGCTGACAGTCAGTCTGAGGAATCTTTCTGACTGCCATGACAAGGACCATCTTGTAAAGAGAGATTTTCTCTCCCAGCATACATGAAGTGGAGACCTTCTCCCTCTTGCTCTTAGGAAGAGGGATTTCTTCAAGTTTCCTACTCTGCTCCTGTTTCTCCCAGCACTTTCTTGTCTTCTCTCCTCCCTGCCTTTTCCTTCCCTTGGGGGAAGAGGATTTTCTTCTCTAAGGTCAAGATCCCATCCTCGAGCCACTTGGGTTTTGTTTTCTAATCTTCCTTCTTTCATAAACCACCTCCTGTGTCCTTTAGTCCTTATTGCTGTGTCTGCCTGGATTCCTGGGTTCAGAGGCCCAGCCTGGTACCCAGCATGTCTCAGGTCCCTAGGGAGAAGCTGAGATCACAGTCCCAGTTGTTGAGTGATTTTGGTTGGATTGTCACCAGACACATGATCTTGAAATCCTTACTGAATTGAGTAAGATAACCAATGTGTATTTATCAGGACGTCTCTGTCCATCTGGAACATTCGAGTATTTACAAAATGTTCTCCCTGTTCAGGCACTTAAAAATCTTTCCTCTAACAACATGTTTTGATTCTCCTTAAATGACACCATCTTGGATTACAGCTTCTCCACGAGGAGTCAGGAGTTTTACTCTTGAAGTTGAGCTTCCTGTTGTTCTTTTGGTTCCCTCAAACTAATTGGGGACTGACTGTCTCCTATTGAAAACATTCCTGGAGAACAGGGAGACTGGTGTGTACTGTGGAATGTGTAGAGGAGATGAGATTGGAAGACTAATGGGAATGTGGCATTTTCTTTATTTGCAGGCACCAGTATGTGCCCTGGGATTAAAAACATGAAAAACAGCTGGGGTTGTGGCTCAGTGGTAGAGCACTTGCCTAGCATGTGTGAGGCTCTCCTGGGTTTGATTCTCAGCACCACATATGAACAAATAAATAAAGGTCCATCAATAACTAATAAAAATATTTTTTAAAAAATGAAAAAAATTTATAGTCCCTGCATTCCTAGTCTACAAGGAGAGAGAGAGAGAAAAACTCCCCTCCCTTTTTTTTTTTTGATACTAGGGATTGAATCCACAGACACTTTACCACTGAACTACATTGCCACCTCTTTTTGAGATAGGTTCTCAGTAAGTTGCTGAAGGTCTTATTAAATTGCTGAGACTGATCCTCCTGCCTCAGCCTCCCTAGGTGTGGGAATTACAGGTGTGTACCATTGAGCCAGACCATCATTTTACTTTATTTATTATTGTCTTTTGTTTGTTTGTTTGTTTTGTTTTTGCAATACTGGTGATTGAACCCAGGGGTGGTCTGCCACTGAGCTACAATCCCAGACCTTTTTATTTTTTCAGACAGGATCTTTCAAAATTGCCCAAGCTGGCCTCAAACTGGGATTACAGACATGTGACAACACATCCAGCTTATTTTATTTGTTATTATTATTTTGTATGTGTGGTGCTAGGGATTGGGTCCAGGGCTTCGCAAGTGCTTTACCACTGAGTTACATCCCCAGTCCAAAGATTATTTTAATATAAAGAAATACCCCAATTAGATATAAATAAGGTAGGCTAAGATTGCTCTAATGAAGAAGGCAAACTTTGTACCTTCTTTATATAAAACATGGCTAATATATCTTACCTTGCAGGCATGTTGTTAGAAATAAATAAAATCACACAGCTTTGTGGAACAGTTGACATTTGAACTAGATCTTGATAAACAAAGAGTTTGCCAGGTGGAGATGGTAAGGAGAGAGAAATTACAGACTAATAATAATGTCAGGACTTGCCTAACCTCCTGAAATGTTTGCAGAATCAAGTAAAGTTGGAAAACACTTGGAAAGTAAAAGTACAGTTTAAGGATAAGATATTAATACTACTTAATCAGCCACTCAAATGAAGTCATAGCCCTGGAGAGAGATTTAAGAAAACAGAAATACTCCCATGCTTTTACAAATGCCTGATGTGTACCTTTGAGTAGTGTGTGGGGTGTCTGTTCACTGTTTCAGGAAGAGGGGAAGCAAGAGGATTCTATTTTTTTTTTTTTTTCTCCTTTATTCTCAAGCACTTTATGACCATAAGGAAATTGAGAGAGCTCTGGTGAGTGGCTTGGGTAGAACAAGGGTAAAGCAGAGAGAGCCTTCCCCTGCTAGCACTTAGCCTCTGAGCTTTCATCCAGCCCTTGCAGGTTTTGTGTTGTTGGGATTATTGTGGTAGCCCCCAGATAAGCAGGTGACATTGAAATCCCCCAATGCCACCAAAGATGTACACAGATAGTTAGCAAATAGGCCATGAAAACTTGTTTGACTAGTCATTAGGGAAATGCAAATCAAAAACACAATGAAATACTATTATACACTTAATAAAATAGCCAGGGCACTTAACCACTGAGCCACATCCCCAGCCCTTTTCATTTTTTATTTTGAGACAGGTTCTTGCTAACTTGCTTAGGGCCTCACTAAATTGATGAGGGCGGCTTTGAACTTGAGATCTCAGCCTCCTGCCTCAGCCTCCCAAAGTCACTAGGATTATAGCTGTGTGCCAACACACTCTGCCATTTTAAAAAAATGACAATACCAAATGTTGACAAGCACAGGAACAATAGGAATCTCATCATTCCTGGTAGAAATGCAAAATTGTTAGCTACTTTGTAAAACAGCTTGGCAGTCTCTTGTAAAGTTAAATGACCCATGACCCAGAATCCTGTTCCTGAGTATTTACTCAAGAAAAATGAGACCTCCCCACCCCTTTACTACCCACTCAAAGACTACAATTCTTTCTTTTCTTTTTTTTTTTAGTTGTGAATGGACACAATACCTTTATTTTATTTATTTATTTTTATGTGGTGCTGAGGATTAAACCCAGCATCTCATATGTGCTAGGCAAGTGCTGTACCACTGAACTACCACCCCAACCACCAAGACCATAATTCTTTATAGTAGCTTTATTCACATAATAAGCTCATACTGGGAACAACCCAATATCTATCCAAATGGAAAAAAACCGATACATCCATATACAGAATAGTATTTAACAATAAAAAGGGAACAAGATACTAATATATGTAACCACATGAGTAGATCTCAAAGCATTATGTTAAGAAAAGTCGAAAACAAAACCCTATGTATGCCAGGTGCCTGTAATCCCAGCGGCTTGGGAGGCAGGAGGATAATGAGTTCAAAGCCAGCCTCAGCAACTCAGCAAGACCCTGTCTCTAAATAAACTACTAAAAAGGGGCTGGGGATATGGCTCAGTGGTTAAGCCCCCCTCAGTTCAATACCTAGTACCAAAAGTAAACAAAAAACAAAAAACCCTACATTTCCATGATTTGATTTGTATGACATTTTGGAAACGGCAAAACTATAATGACCAAAATCAAATTAGTATTTGCCAGAGGTAAGGGAAGAGGATTGACTGAGTACAGAGGAGCATAACACGTAGACAACTTTTTGGAGTTTTGGTAATGTTCTGGATATTGAGTGTGGTAGTGATAAAGCATTAGAATACATTTTTCAAGTCTCATCAAACTGAACTCAAAAAAAGTGAACTTTACTAAATGTAGATTGCACCTTAATAAATCTAAATAGCAAAAGAGTCCCTTACCTTCTTGTCCCCAAATCAGGCTCAGGAAGGTGACATCCAAAAATCACACAGCAGCTCAGCACTTGCCTTGAACAGATAATGCATTTCATACTAAGCCCTGATCAGATGCTGATTTCCCCTCCCTCTGCCAAAGCTAGTGCCTACACTTCCCTGCCTACTTTTGGCTTCCAGCCTTGGGACAGGGCATGTTTTGACCAAGCTCTAATTTGGGGCACGTAATCCCCATTTGTAACCTATTAACCAAGCCAAAGTTTCTGGTCACTGGGACTGAGCTTTGAGATGTTTGGCTGGCCTGTTACAACCCCATCATTAGGAACAAAGAGCGCATTGGCTCCTGTGCAGTGGGCATTCTGCAGCTGCTGAAGGCATGTCTGGGGCTCTGTCATTTCAGTGCTTCTCACATGGGTCAACTGTTCCAGTGTGCGGTGGGCCACCCGGGTTCAAGACATTTTTACAGCTGGGAAACTCCTGGCTCTGGCCCTGATCATCATCATGGGTGTTGTACAGATTTGCAAAGGTGAGTGTCATGGGAACACAAGGGCCCCACATAACTCTCTACCCCTTGCATGTGCACACCGTGAGGGTTCCCAGTTCTGGCTTTGAGGCATCTCTTCTTCATTCACTTGACAGAGGGCATGAGAGGCCAATTTCTCCAGGGTGGCTGGGGATAAGGAATGTCTCCCAGCTTGCAAAGATTCATTTGGCCCCCATGACAATGCTCGCCTCATGACTTTAGCATGGCTAAGTAATAACCCTGAATCTCTGGTCTCTATTGCTGTTTTGCCCAAAGTCCAGGGTACCTCCCCTCATCTTCTGTGGTACCTTATATATATATCTTAAAATGGAGAACAGAGAAGGAGAATTTTATAGGTTTCAAAATTACTCATAATCTCTGCAAAAGAGAGCTCTACATTCCCGGGCCCCCTGCCAGCATTCCCCACTGGATTTGGTCCTTTCAAAGCATGAGTCTATTTGGTTTCCATGGGGCCCATGGCACCACAAGGCTGTGCTCAACGCCACTGCCTCATGGAGAAAATCTGATGACAGAGAGACCTCCCATCTGCCCACAAGCCCAGAGTGGGTGGCCAGACTGGATGTTTACTCCAGGAAACAAGTTTCTGCTATACAATGGATAGATTTAATGGAATAAGTCCTTTATCAGGTTATGTTGTTTTCAGGAATTTAGTCTTAAGGAAATCACTGTGCTATCTTATCAAAGATAGTGATGAGTTCCTCCTAATCTGGTCTCAATTCTTTCTCCTGGTCACACTAATCTCCTCATTTCCTGTCTAAACACAGGGTTGCAGATGAATAAGTGGTCATTTGCTCCTATCTCATCACAATCTCAGTCAGCAGCTTTTTTTTTTTTTTTTAAAGTGTTGGGGATTGACCTGAGGACTTTGCCCATGCTAAGCAAGTGCTCTACCACTGAGCTACTCCTACAGCCCAGCAACCTTTTCTGAGGGCCCACTTTGTGAAGGACACTGTGCTAAGCGCTGGGAAGACAATTTAAAGGCTCTTTACTAATGGCCTCTGAAAAGACAGACCTAACACATTAGAAAGAAATAGGATATCAACAAAGTAAGCAAAACAAGCTCAAACTAATATAGCATTATAGAACCTTATGTTGGATTGTTTTTGTTTTTTTTTTTTTCTTTTTATTTTGTGGTGCTGGAGATTGAATCCAGGGCCTTGTGTATGTGAGGCAAGCACTCTACCAACTGAGTTATATCCCCAGCCCTTTGTTTGTTGTTCTTAATCCTTTCTTATGAAAATGTACAAACTTAGATGTCAAGGCAGGTGGTGACAGCCAGTGACTGCATTCCTGTGTTTCAAAGCCAGTAATCCAGCCTCCCAATTTACTATGGTTTTTCCATCCAAGAACCTGCCTTTGTAAAAAAGGATAATTTCATAACTGTACTTTGAACCTGAACCTGATTTGGACCAGGTACTGAGAGGTCCTGGACCTGGATCTCCTTGCTCCTTTTAGCCTCATTCCTTCAATACTCCAGTACAGTAGGTTCACTGGAGACTAAACAGAGGTTTGCTGCTGGAAGGGGTGAGAGACCAAATGGGACAGGCCTGAATTCATCTCTCTGAGCAGCCTCTTGCCCTCTGTGTCCACAGGAGAATACTTCTGGTTGGAGCCAAAGAACGCCTTTGAGAATTTCCAAGAACCTGACATCGGCCTCATTGCCCTGGCCTTCCTTCAGGGTTCCTTTGCCTATGGAGGCTGGAACTTTCTTAATTACGTGACTGAGGAACTTGTTGATCCCTACAAGTGAGTTGAAATAGTCCAGCTCTTCCTCTTGTCCATGGAACGCTACAACACATGGTGCTAAAAAATGGAGCAGGTGTGCTCTGCCCACTTCTCTTTATCACCCCAGCTCTGGCCATGCCTGTGGCCATTTTGGAATAATAGTCTATTTCCCAGGAATTTAAGCCATTAGTCAGTCCTGTGACTGTCCCAAAGCAAGCTAAAAGCTGAAAGCTATGCCAGATAACACCACTCCCTTAGAGAATGAACTGTGCCCCATGAGGCCTCTGGGCATCTTATTCACCTGTTTCAGGATAGGCCAGTCATTGTGTCTGGAGGCAGGGGGAAGGGTGCATGGTGGAGATCTGGGTCAGGAAGAGATCAGCAGGTGTGGAGTATACTTCTAGCCTAAGTTTTTCATTTCCTTTAAATTATCCTGTCCTGGTTGAGACACAACCTACCTCCTGGGGAGAGGGAGCCTGTAGAAGTGGCAGTCCTGTGCAGACCCCATGGCAAAGCAGGCATTCCAGCACAGCCTTCCTCTCACCTCCTCTCCCTCTACAGGAACCTTCCCAGAGCCATCTTCATCTCCATCCCACTGGTCACATTTGTATATGTCTTTGCCAATGTCGCGTATGTCACTGCAATGTCCCCCCAGGAGCTGCTGGCTTCAAACGCAGTTGCTGTGGTAAGAAATCAAACTCCCACTCTCTCAAACCAGATTCCTGACAGACTTGCCCCCTTAGGCCCACTGACTTTTCCCTGACCCATGGACCTGTGGAACTGGAAATCATCCCAAGTGCTCAGGGCAGAATCCACATGTGCCCTTGACAGGGTGTCTTCAAGTGCCCAGGATGGCTGGGTTTGTTCCAGGGCAGCTACCATGGCAGAACTGAGTAGCTGCCTGCAAAGCAGAAATGTTTGGTGTCTGATCCTTTACAGAACAAGTTTGCCAACTCCTGATCTAGGGCACTTTAAACTCTGGGTGTGAGGATTGTGTCAAGGAGACAGACTGCTCCTTACAAAGATATGATATTACACAAGGTACACCATTTCTCTCCGCCTTCATTCCTGCCTCTGGAAAGTATGCAAGCTGCCCAGGTTTGGTGACACACACCTGGAATCTCCAGGCTGAATCAGGAGGATCACAAGTTTGAGGCAACTCAACAAGACCCTGTCTCAAAATAAAAAATAAATAGGGCTGGGGATGTAGCTCAATGGTAGATACCCCTGGGTTTAATCCCCAGGAGAGAAAGTAGTATGTAAACTGACTCCTTCCCTCATCAGGGAGAAGTGAGTGCTGGTAAGCAGTTTGCAGATAGGAGTGGTATATGTCCTTTGGGGAAAGGGCCAAGGGACCAGGATCCTTGATATCTGAGAAGGGCCCACTCTGCTAAACATGTTGTCACATCTCTAAGGACTGTTCAGAGCCTGTGACCAAAGGCCTTCCCCAGCAGAATGCCTATTCTAAACAGTTCCTCCCTGGTGCTTCAAATCTGGTTCAGGGATTACAGAGAAGACTGGTCCCCAGACAGTTTATTTCCTTCAATACGAGAAGCCTAATCTATAACTTCACAGCCTTCTCTTTCTCAGCCTAAATACTGGCTGCTTCTTATTTTTCCATCAATATAATTTGTTTCTGTGGACTTAGAAATTCTCACTCTATGAGTCAGGATTAATCCCTGTTTTATAGACGAGAAACTGAGGCCCCAAAATTACATATCTGGGGCCAGGAGTAAAAGTGCTCAGTGGTACAGCACTTGCCTGGCATGCATGATGATCTGGGTTTGATCCCCAGAAAACAAACAAAAAACAAAACAAAACCTTGCTCAGTGTGGGGCCAGGATTTGAACCCAGATCTACCCAACTCACAAGCCTGTGTCCCTCCCTGGGCAGAGAAATTGTGCAGGGTACATGCCTAAATCCACCCAGCTCCCAATCCTGGCCCCTCTACTTCCTGGGAGTGTGATCTGAGGCAAGCTACCTAATCACTATGCGCCTCAGTTTCCTCATTCATTAAACAAGGATGTAAGTGTCATTTCATTACTATTACTATTACCAGCACATACTCTCCATTTAATTAGCCCAAAGCATGTTTTGACTTCCAATATTTAGTTACCACTGTGGAAGAGTGTGGGAAGAGGCTCTCGAGGAACTTAGCCAGAGAGAATCAGCAGATGGGGATGAGAAAAAAACACTCCAGAAGTGGAGAGCGAACCGGAGGTGGGGAATTGTAGCTCTCCTTTTCCACTTAATCCCTTTGTTTTCTCTCCCAGACTTTTGGAGAGAAGCTCCTAGGTGTTATGGCCTGGATCATGCCCATTTCTGTTGCCCTGTCCACATTTGGAGGAGTTAATGGGTCTCTCTTCACCTCTTCCCGGTGAGTGCTACCTGGGCCCTTCCCTAAGCCAGGGCCACTTCTCTGTGCACATTGCTGTGTGTTTATGGTGGCTCGTCTCTGTCTGCAAGGGTTGTATGGGCACCTGGGTGGTGGCTCTGCAGAGGCGTGTGAGTATGGGTGCTGAGGGGTTATGCTGCTCATGTGGTGACCTACAAGGTGTGTGGTATGCAGGTCCTAAGTGCTTCACATGTAGTGGTCTGCACATATCAGAAGGAGCAAGGGCTGTGGTTGGCAGCAGGATGGTGTCTTGGCTACAGTCCTAGAGCCCCCTTTTCACTTGCCTGGACATAAGCTGCTGCTGGCAAGAAAGGAACCCCACTCTGAAAGAGACCAGGATGGAGACTTGTACCTGGGGTCTCCTGGGCCTTATCTCCCATAAATGTTCTGGAAGCAGACTCCACGTGGGATGGGATCACTCTGAGTGCCCTGAAGATACAGGGCTACTCCCTGCTCTACAGGCCAGCACTGCAGGAGGCCACCCACAAGTCTCAGTGGAGAATCTGAAGAGAGAGGGTGGCGAAGAGTAGAAAGAAGCATTCATCAGTGAGAGAGCCTTTCAGCCAACCCCCTGGTTTCTAGGAAACCAGAAGTATGAGTGGGCCTGGAGCCACCCACTCCCATCTTCTCATATTCAGGAGTCTGGCACCTCTGTGTCCCTTCCTACCATCTCCATAATGGGCTGTTGAGGCTAGCAGATGCTGGATGATTTCCATTTGTGTGACCCCCAAAGTTCTTAGAAAGCACCTCCTGCCCTGTGAACACAGTCCTACTCAAAAGATGAGTCCCTGAGTTCAACTGCTTCCTGTCACATCAAGAAGAAGAACCTGTGAAATGACAAGGGAATGCCATGTTTTCAGGATCCAGGAGAGGAAGGATGGAGTGTGGGTGTCCCCTGTGCCCCGGGACTCCATGATACTCACCCACAGCAACCTCATGTGCGTGTTACACAGGAGCAGTGGCCACCTGGAGGCCCCAGCCGGGGGCAAGCGGTGGAAGAGCAGTGACCCATGAGACTCTCTGAGATGTATTGGAGGACAGTGACAGCCCACAGTCGCTTTAGAGTGGGGTTTGTCCCTCAGGCCGGCCATGCAGCGGTCTGCGTGCATGTGGTATGGTTGTGTGTGCATGCAGGAGATGGGGTGTGGAGTGTGCTCGGCCTCTGGTTCAGAGGTGCAACCTCAACCCCCAAGGCCTCCTCTGCTCATCTTCCAGTTCCCTCATTCCTTCCTCCTTCTTCCCTCCTCTCACTTTTTTGTGCACTGTGGTATGGAGAGGATGATCCTTCCCCAGGAGTCTGAGTGTGTGTGGGTGCGTGTTATGCTTAATGTCATTGTCTCCTCCGTTGTCAGCTAGCCCAGCCAGGATTATTTCTTGCAAACTTGACACTTATAAACACTGTGGGACCTGGACAGTTACACCAAGTCCTGGCTGCATGTGGAGGAGGGATGTGAATGCAAGACCCAGGCTATGTGCATGATGAGGCCCTCAGAGCCTGGGCTCCGCCTGGTGCATGTGGCTGCTTTGTGGAGGCCCAGCAGCATGAGGAGGTGGGGGAGGGGGGGGATGCATGAGTCCGCATGAAACCAGTGACATTGGCCTAGATCATTCATGGTGGCAGCTGCTATGGGTACTTGAGGCCACAGTCAACGCCAACACAGTGACAAGTTGCTATTGTTAGCTCCACTCTACCCCATACACAGATTACAAAGTAAGTGACAGTTCTTTTCAGAACTCCCTAGTGTTCTGATTCTGTTCTTCCTGTTATCATACAATCCTCCTCTCATTAGTTAGGTCCTTCTTTCCCTAGAAAAAAGGAAAAAAAAAAAAAAAAAAAGTGATCTAATCCTCACTACTATGTAAATGACTGCTAACAACTTATACTTTCTGTTATGCATTTTATGTTATGATTTCTCTGTCTCTCCCTCTCATTCTCTTTCTCCTTTTTCTGGTGCTAAGGATCTTCAATTTCTCTTTTTAAAAAACTTTTAGTTGGTTATAATCCCAGTGACCCAGGAAGCTGAGGCAGGAAGATTGAAATTTTGAGGCCAACTTCATCAACTTAGTGAGGCCATGTCTCAAAAATAAAAAGCCTGGGCTGGGGTTGTAGCTCAGTGGAAAAGCACTTGCCTACTATATGTGAGGCACTGGGTTTGATTCTCAGCACCATATATAAATAAATAAAGGTCCATTAACAACTAAAATAAAATATTAAAAAAAATAAAAATAAAAAGTCTGGGGATGTAGCTCAGTTGTCTAGGTTTGATCCCTAGTACCACCATAAAGAAAAAAACTTTTAAATTCCAGTACCCTAGTCATGATATTATATTATAGCTTTGGAAGATGTTACCAATAGGGAAAACTGGGTAAAGTTCCCCGTATATTATTTCTTACAACTATATATGAATTTATAATTATCTCAAAAAATTTAATTTTCAAAACATTTAGGGGTTGGGGATGTAGCTCAGAGGTTTAGTGCTTGCTTAGTGTGTTCAAGGCCCTGGATTCAACCCCCAGTACTGCAAAATATGAATAAATTAGAAATTAAAAATTAAATATAATTGTCTGATTATAAATGTTTCATTTTAGAATTTTAAATGTTTTTTCTAGGGTTTGGGGGCATAACTCAATGTTAGAGCTCATGTATAACATGCTCAAGACCCTGGGTTCAATCCTTATCACCAGAACTAAGAAATTTTCTATAATGTTTAAGGAAGAAAATCAATCTTTCTTACAATCCCACCACCCAGTTGGCATTTTAGTGTATTTTTCTGTGCCCATAAATAATTTTTAAATTAATTGGAATCAGTTTTCTATCCACTTTTTTCATTTAGTGGTGTTGTAAGCTTGTTCTTATGTAATCAGTTTTTGTTCGAAAAACATTATTATGACTTTGTAATTTTCCATTTCATATATACCATAATTTTTTTAAATCAATCTCATACATTTCAGCTAATTTAGAATATTTCCAGTTTTTTATTCTCATCAGAATGTCTTTGTATATACATGCCTTTTACTACCTCACTCTTCATTTCTTTATTTTGCAGTACTGGGGATTGAACCCACGGTGCTCTACCACTAACCTACATCTCCAGCCCTATTTTTTTTTTTTTGAGACACAGCCTTACCAAGTTGCTGAGGCTGCCCTAGAACTTGTGATCCTCCTATCTCAGCCTCCCAAGTCATTGAGATTACAGGCATGTGCCACTATGCCTGGCTTCTATTAGTTTCTTTAGCATGGCTTTTTAGGAGTAAAATAAGTAGCCCTAAGGATATAACTTTTAAGTACAATTTACCTGCAATAAAATGCACAGATCCTAAGTGTTCAATTTGATGAGTTTTGACAATCATAGACAGCCACACAACCACATCCAAAACATATCCCGTGTGCCCAGGTTCCAACTGCCCCTTTCCAGTCCACCACCTCCATAGAAGTAAGATAAGAATGTTTTTAAATTATTCCACATGCAGTTCGGTCACAGTATATAAGGGAATCTTTATTTCTTGAAGGTAGGGAGGCACATTTTTAAAGGGATGAAGACCCTAGGCAAAGGAGAGACCTTGTTCCTACAGCCGTGCAGGCATTGGAAATGAAGAAGAGCAACAATGCCATCATCAGTACCCTGAGCCAGCCAGACCTCTTCACTCATTAGCTGCCTGTGGTGTCTCTGCACCTACACCTGTGAACATGGGTGCTAGGACTAGTGGGCTGGAAGGTGCAATGCAGAGGCTGTCCTGGTTGGAGGAGGGGTGCTGCTCTGTGGATAAAAGGTGGGCATGGAGAAGGAGCCTAGGCTTGCTGGTCCATGGGCTCTCCCAGACTGACTTGCTTTTCTCCCTGCCAGGCTGTTCTTTGCTGGAGCCAGAGAAGGCCACCTTCCCAGCGTGCTGGCCATGATCCACGTGAAGCGCTGTACCCCAATCCCAGCCCTGCTCTTCACAGTAAGGGCCCCTCATGCTGCTGGCCTAATACATACCCTACCTCTCTTTGTAATCCTCTCAAGTGGGAGTGCACCCACACCTCCTTGTCACTCTCTGATCTGCTCCTAAGTTTCAATGGGCCATAAATAATCTGGCAATTGTATTCATTGGCTTTGTCAATATCAAGGAATAGAATGAGAAAAAGACTCTGAAACGCCTTAAGGCTTTTAGGCTCTTTTCATTCTCCCATCCTTTGGGGGCAAAATGAGGTGACTGCTGTTGGTTTCTATGACCTCACAGAGACAGTTCTGCTCCCCTGAGCCTCTTGACACCTGTTACAGCAGGGATTCAGCTCTGGTCCTCTGCTCTCGGCTAATCACAACATGTGCCTGCCTCTCCCTATCCAGCTTCTTGCCCCAGGATACCTTGCCAGTCTCTTGGGAAACTTTATTGAAATTAATTCATTGTTAAGGGTACATCAAATAAGAAAAATCATAGAGGGAGACTAATAAACTGAAGTTGAAGAAAAGGAAGTTTGGGATGGGGAAGACATGGGGGTAACATGTCCCTAGAGTAGACTCATCTAGAGAGAGCTAAAGGAAGGAACAAAAACTTGTCCTCATTAAGTCTTTTAAGTTTTTTTTTATTTTTTTCTTCTGGATCCTGAATAAAACATTAAAAATTACTTTGGCCCACTGGAGAAGTAGTTAGAAATTGGATAATAGAGCTCCTAGGAGTCAAGGGCATTGTACAACATTAGGGAAGTTTCAGAAAGTTCAGGTACAGGATGAAGGTCATCTTGATTGGTTAGTTTTAGGAGGTGGCTGGAGAGAACAGTTGGGTCACATGCCTTAACAGTACTGTTGGTGGAGTACTATGTCTGCCAGACAAGTATAGCCAGAATCAGGCCTATTCATCCATTAAAACCTTCTCAATCAGTACATAATGATGCATGCCTATAATCCCAACTATTTAGGAGGCTAAAGCATGAGAATCAGGATAACAAATTCAAGGCCAGCTTGAACAACTTAGTGAGACCCTATCTCAAAAAGGGCTGAGGTTGCAGCTCAGTGGTAGAGCACTCCTGAGTTAACTTCCTAGTACCACCAAAAAAAAAAAAAAAAAAACTTGATTATTCTCACCATTAGATCTCACATTGGCCTTCACAGATTATCAGAGTATAGCATGTTCTGAGAAAGCCACAGAGATAATTTTGAAGTTGGAAAGTGACCTTCATCATGAAAACCTCAAGGATGTTACAAGGGTTAATATTTGCTTTTAAAGAAAAAATGATAGGAAAACAAATTAGATGACTTAGCTAGGAGAAAAGGGTGACAACAAGAATAAAACTCTAATCTGCAGTTAATAATCTTCCCTAAGGGGTTAAAAAAAATTACCTTGAGCTATAACCAGGGAGAAATACAAATGAGACCAGGTTGACATCAAGTCAGTGGCACCTGTCTGGCCAATCCAGGTGTCCATTCTGAGTAGTTAGTCCCTATTCCATACCAGTGGTTAAATATTTTTGGTTTTGCCCCTGTAATAAGTAAGAATTTCCTAGCAAAGAAGGTATAGTAGCACCTGGGCTATTAAAAGTAGTCATGAAGTCTCTGTCTTGAGACATCCATTACAAAATGGTACAGTCTGTCTGGAAGGGAACTGCTCCGGACCTCTGAACATCTCCTTCAGTCTACAAATGCCTTTCTGATCACTGATGATCCCCCTCATTTCCCCAGTGCATCTCCACCCTGCTGATGCTAGTCACCAGTGACATGTACACTCTCATCAACTACGTGGGCTTCATCAACTACCTCTTCTATGGGGTCACAGTTGCTGGACAGATAGTCCTTCGCTGGAAGAAGCCTGACATCCCCCGCCCCATCAAGGTGAGAGTATGTCCTTTTGGAATTCCCCTCTTCTACTGGTTCTAGCTGCAGAGCACATTTCTGAATTACCTCTATTCTTGGCTATTGGCCACAGATGACCATTTTTGTGATGGTAGTAGTATGTAAATGAGAGTCCTTTCTCCACTGGAGATAAGACCAGAGCAAACTGGGCATGATGGTGCATGTTTGTAATCTCAGTGATTTGGAAGCCTGAGGCACGAGGGTCACGAGTTTGAGGCCAGTCTGGACAACTTAGCAAAATCCTGTCTCACAATAAAATAAAAAGGGCCGGGGATTAGCTCAGTGATAGAGCACTTACCTAGCATATGCAGGGCCCTGGCTTCGATCACCAAGTAAACAGACTATTAAAGGGAAGAAGAGGTAGGATCACCTTATCTCCTCTGAGAGGGGCAGACAAGGAAGAGAAATCAGGACTCACAAGTGGTCAATGAGGATGGGTGAAGCCCATGGAGTTAGTACTCTTTCTGAACTAAAGTCAGGGCCCCAGCCTGCCTTATGCCATGCTCACTCTCCTGATTTCTTGGGTCTTGGTGTGCTTCTTTTCTCAAAATTGCTTAAGAGAAACAATTTTGAACCTGGTGAGAGGGACGGGCATTTCCCACAGTGAGCCTAGAAGTGAAGCCAGACAGACCTAGGTCATTGTCTTCCTGCCCCCTTTCCACCTAGGACCTTAGCAAATACATTGGAACATACGAGCAAGCTTCTCAACCCTCATGGGCTTCTTTGGCTGCCACAGGCACTTGGCCTGGATGACAAAGCCTTATCTGACCCCACCTGGGAGGGAGGACATGAGCAATAAGGATGGCTCCCTCCCTGGTTTCCCCATCCTCTTCCTGTCCCATTGTCCAAGTTCATCAACATTTATTGACATAGCATCAGCCCTGTGGAACACACAGCTAAGTGAAGCCCAGCCTTAGCACTCAAGGATGTGGATGAGAGAGGTTTCCCCGATCCTGGGAATGGTGGGGGCCACGCAGCTCACAGTGCCTCTGCTCCTCAGATCAACCTGCTATTCCCCATCATCTACTTGCTGTTCTGGGCCTTCCTGCTGGTCTTCAGCCTGTGGTCGGAGCCGGTGGTGTGCGGCATTGGCCTGGCCATCATGCTGACAGGAGTGCCTGTCTATTTCCTGGGTGTTTACTGGCAACACAAGCCCCAGTGTTTCAACGACTTCATTGGTGAGTTGGTGAAGGCAAGAACTCCTGGGCTGGAATGGAGTCATCTGGTTGGGGAGCCCCCCAGGATCAGGAAGCCTAGGCTTATCTTCACCTACAGGGTCTGGAGAAGGAGTTGGGGGCAGAAACAGCAGATCTTTCCAGAGACCCCTGAGCAGAGAACAGCTGAGATTTCCATATAGACTTTAGCCCTGGGAGAACAGGCAGCCTACCAGCTGCCCTGCAGAAGCCGCCCCAGGCTGGCTATAGATCAGTGCAGACCCTGGAAGTGGGGGGTCAGTGGGCATAGGGAAGGTGGAAAGCTGGGGTCTTGATGAGTGAGGGGCAGCTAACAAAAGATGTAGGAGACAGATGAGGTGGCCATTTCCCAGACAGAATCTCCGAAAGGCACTGGTTGCTCTGTTGAGGCAAAGCCTGGGTGGAAAGCTGGTTAAAGCCACGGTCTTATTGGCCCTGTTGGCAAGACACCCAGCACTGACCCGGTTTCTGTGTGGTCTCCTTTCACAGAGTTGCTTACCCTGGTGAGCCAGAAGATGTGCGTGGTTGTGTACCCCCAGATGGAGGGGGGGTTGGAAAGAGAAGGGGTGAATGAGGACATGGAGGAGCAGCAGCAGGCCATATACCAACCCACTCCCACCAAGGACCAGGACTCAGTGGAGCATCCCCAGCCCTGAGGACCACCATCCCCTCAGCTGGCTACTCCTCCCTCATCCTGATCTCTGCCTTTTCCCTGCCTGGGTCTCCCCAACACACACACACCCCTCTGCTTCTATCAGGCAGGGCCAGGACCTGTGTGTGGGAGTGGTGAGAAGTCAGAAACAAATACACTGACATTTGTACCCAAAGAACCAGCCTCTTATCCCAGGGCCTGTGTCTAAGGCCCTCACACAAGGGTTTCCCATGTTCCATTAGAAGAGAGTGGAGATACCAAGGGTGCCCTACAGGGCCTCCCTCCCAGGCCCAACCCTCAGATGTCTCTTATGTACCTGAGCTCACTACTGCCTTCCTTCCCCACCCCTGAGCCCAGAGGAGGCCTCAGTTCAGAGAGAACCACACAGTAACTTGGTTTGGGAAGACAGACTCAAGAGAGTCTGTCACCACCTAAGGTCAACTGGAGAGACCCATACCTTTTTCTGTTCACTAGGGACCCAAAAGTAGAGGGGATGCTTCCCTCTGCCGCCTTCTCTGTCTCATCCTACCATTCCTCCACCCATCCACCCTGGGCTCCCTATCCAAGAAAGGCTCCTTTTGTGACACCTCCTTCCCATTAAGCTGAGGACCAAGGAGGAGGAGGATGCCTCTTCCCCAACCCCAAGCCTGTGGAACACAGTGGGAAAGGTTCAGATGGCAGAAGCCCCAGCCCTGCCCCTGCCTCTTGCATCCTGCCCCCAACGTGGTGCCAAAGCTTCCCAAGGCCAAAAAGGCTTTTTATTTCAGTATCACGTACCTGTCTCTCCTAAAGACAAAGCCATTCTGCTCCTCCTCCCTCCCCATCTCCATGGGAAGAAGCAGTGGCCCCCTTATCCCCAAAGCTGCACCCTAACATATCCTTGCGGAGCCAGCACTGCCGGCTACCAGTTATGCCCTTTCCTCCTCCCTGGACCTTGGCTCAGGGGCCCAGTGTGAAGGATCCCCAAGCCTCCAGGCCTGAAATCAGAGCCAAATCAGCCTTAAGTCACCTTCCATCCAAGAACTGGGCCTAAAAATACTCCCTTATTTCTAACCCTCAGGACAGACCTGATATTAAATGCCTTCCCTGTGTGGAAGGTGCTTTCCCACATCCCCAGAGCTGCCCATTCCACAGGCTGGGGGACTATTTCGGGAAGAGAGTGTTTTCAGAAGGCCAGTTCTTCTCCCCTCCCCCAACTAAAATGACCCCTCCCTCCTTTCTGGCCTTACCGCCAACCCTTCATGGGGCAGGATGAGAGAACAGTGGCACAATGTCAGCCACTTTGAAGATCTTCAGAAAAGCACCTTGTGGTATGCGGGCTCTGACCTTTCCCTGTACTCCAAAGCAGTGGATGGTGTCTGCCCTGACCTTGCAGCCTCTCCCACCCCCACCCCCACCCCACTTGCAGTGCTAGGGACATAGAATTCTTTTATCCCAAGCAAGATTCCCTTTTCCCCCTCCCATCTGCTTAAACTGGAATATCCAGGGAGCTGCTCCTGCCCCAGCTTGCCTCTCCACATTGGTGAGATGCTAGATTTGGGCTGAGTTATGGCTCCCAGAGTGGATACTGGCTGGGCTGGGCCCCCAGAAGACCATCTTCCTGGTCTTCCCTCTCTTCTCATTCCTCCAGTCTCCTCCCTTCCTTCCATTATTTGTTATTATTATTTTGTTGTTTTTTTTGTAAAGTGGATGCCTTACTTTTTTGGATAAATATTTTTGAAACTAGTATTTCTATTTCTTTTGGATTTTTTAAATGTAAGGTGGTTTGGGGGGTGGAGTTAGAACCTTAATGACAATATGTCATTGAGTTGGTTTAAGTTTTGTTTCCTTTGAGGTTTTCTTCTTTCTTTTCATGTAATAAAATTTTAAATGCAAATGAAGTTGATTGTGTTGATAATTAAACGACTTTCAGAAACAGAATCACTGGGCATTTTTTCTTAGAAGGTCCTCCTAAGAGCCCCCCCTCCATGCCTCTCTGGGGTCCCATACTCAGGAACCCCATAAACCAACAGTCACCTCTCATTCCTCCTGAGGACTTCAAAATGTTATTAAATTTCCTGCTCTTTGTGCCATCCTGAGAACCTGCAGATTAGTTGGGAAGAAAGAGTCACTACCCAGGATGCGACATGGGCTAGTAGAGGGAGGCAAAAGCAGGGATGTGCCCCTCAAAGTCTGAGCAGAATAGGAAAGGAAGTGATGAGCTGGGTCTATGGAAAGACTTAGAGGGCCCAAGGAGCATGCTGGGAGGTGAGGCTGGTCCACTCAGCCATACAGAAACATCTGGGAAGAAGACTAGGAGGATTGTTTGACTAGGACAGTGGAAAGGAGGAGAAGTTAAGGTAGGCCAAGTTCCTCCTGGTGTCTAGGGTTAACTACTAGAGGAAGTTGATGGGACTAGACCCAGTACTTGCTCTGTCCCTCCCTTTCTGGGCAGCCCTCCCAGCAGCCTGTCCTGAGGCAGCATCATTCCTGAGTGAGCACTGCTGACAGAGGTCAGGCCCATGAGAGGTGGGGGTTGAGACATCACCCGCCACCATCTGGACACTGAGGACACAGGCAGGTGAGACGCCTCCACTTCTGTTCCTCGACTCCAGCTCTCCTGCTTTGTGGCTGTCATTCTTCCAGGCAGGCTGGAAACTCGCCATCCACAGGGACACTGAGCTGGCAGGCCAAATACTTGGCTTCTAAGCCCAGGCCATTCACTAAACAGAACTGTGCCCTTGGGCAAGTCACTTCTGTTCAGTATTTCAAGGGGGGGGGGGGGGCGGAGGAAGGAGAAAGAGTTGGACCCAGTCTCCGTTTCTCAGTCTTATTTTTGTGTGTGTGATTTTTTTGTTGTTGTTCCTCAGTTTTCTGGCATTAAGTTGTCCCCAAAGGGAAGAGGCCAGTCCTGTCCAGGAGGCTGTTATCCAAGGCCCCCTTCCTCAACACATATAATTTTCCTCTTCTTGGCTTGCCCCAGTCCTCCTCTGCGTCACCCCATTCTGGTAGGTCCAGCTCTCCCCAGTCCCCTCTCCAGGGAGACACTTGTCCCTGGGGCCCCCCTCTCTCTGTAAAGTGACACCTGCTGATCTTTTCAACCTGATCAGATGGGCAAAAGTGGGTATCCTCCTGGACCACATGCATTTATTTTTAACCTGGGCCTTTCCCCTGTCTTAACCCTGCCAATCACTTTAATGCTGGGAATTTCAGATGCTCTGAATCTAGAGAATTTGGAGACCTTTTGAAAGTCACTGTTTTTCTGATCATTGTACCCAAGGACTTTGCTATATGCTGTGGGAATGGCAAATTTATTCCTGAATTTTCAAAGTCAGCACAGACTTCAATTTCTTTTTGTCCCCCTAAGGTGTGTGTGTGTGTGTGTGTGTGTGTGTGTGTGTGTGTCTTACTGGGGATTGAACCCAGGGCATTTCACGACTAAGCCACATCCCCAGCCCTTTTTAATTCTTTATTTCTTTCTTAGTTTTATGGTATCAGAGATTGAACCCAGGGTCACTTTACCACTGAACTACATTCCCAGCCCTTTTTATTTTTTATTTTGAGACAGGATCTTACTAAGTTGTCCAGGCTAGACTTGTGATCGCCTTGCCTCAGCCTCCTGAGTAACAGGGATTAGAGGCATGTGCCACCTCATTTGACCTCACCTGTCCTTAATTTAATTCAGGAAATATGGTCACCACCGTTGAAGAGGTCCAAAATATGTATTCAATCCTACCTTTAAAGAGCAAACAGCTGCCACACATGGTGGCACATGCCTGTAGGCCAGAGGCTTGGGAGGTGGAAGCAGGAGGATCACGAGTTCAAAGCCAGCCTCAGCAATTTAGCGAGGCCCTAAGTAACTCAGTGAGACCCTGTCTCTAAAAAAAAAAAAAAAA